TATCTTTGTGTGGAGTTCTGTGTATTTCTTGAGTTTGAAATTTGGACTGCCTTGCTAGGCTTGGGAAGTTCTCCTGGATAATATCCTGGAGCATGTTTTCCAGCTTGAATTCATTCTTCCTGTCATATTTAGGTACATCAATCAAGTGTAGATTCTGTTTTTTCACATAATTCCATATTTCTTGGAGGCTTTGTTCATTTGTTTTCACTTTTTTTTCTTTTGTTTTGCCTTCTTGTTTTATTTCATTGAGTTGATCTTCAATCTCTGATAGCCTTGTTTCTCCTTGATCAATTTGACTATTAAAGCTTGTGTGTGCTTCATGTAGCTCTCATGCTGTGTTTTTCAGCTCCATCAAGTCATTTATGTTCTTCTGTAACCTGGTGATTTTAGTTAGCATTTCATCTAACCATTTTTCAAGGTTTTTGGTTTATTTGTATTGAGTTTGAATGTGTTCCTTTAGCTCAGAAAAGTTTGTTATTATCCACCTTCTGAAGCCTGTTTCTGTCAGTTTGTTGTGCTCCTTCTTGGTCAAGTTGTGATCCTGTGTTGTTGAGGAGTTGTGATCCCTTGAAGAAGAGGTGTTCTTCTGGTCTTTGATAGTTTCATCTTTTTTGCGCTGTTTCTTTCCCATCTTTGTGGATTTACCTGGCTGTGGTGTCAGAGAGCTGCTTGGTGAGGTCACTTGTCTGCCTGTGGGCAAACTACTGGGTTTCCAGGGACTCCTTCAGGTTACTAGGGAAGCTTCCTGTGCCTTTTTTGTTTATGTTGGGAGATTAGGCCTGCCTCTTCTGCTGTCAGGTAAGCCTGTTGGGTTGTCAGTAACGCTGTCTGGTTGCTATGTAGGCTTCCTCTGTTTTTTGTTAAAACATGTAGCCCAGTCCCACCCCTCTAGCGGTGGGTTGTGCCCTCTCTCCACTGGGCTGGATCATTCAGGGTTCATCTCAGACTGTGGCACTGGCTACGCAAACCACTGAAGTCAGAGCTTCAGCCCTCTGGGGTTTGTTGGGGAGGGTAGGGACCTGCCCAGCCACACCTGGCTGTCTCCCCCTTTCAGTTTCCTCTCTCTTGGGTCATGGGGTATGGACCCACCCAACCACTCCCGCTTACAGCTCCCTCTCTCTCCGGACAAGGGAAGGGGGCAATAGCTCAGTCTATATTCTGGTTACTAACCCCGGCATCGGCCTGGATTATTATTCAACTTTGGCGCTTATAATTCCCTGTGTTTGACTGGTAAGATCCCCTGTTTTGTGTATTGCTGAGACTTTGGGGAAAGCGCTGTTACCTGGACTGGAGTGCCAGAGGGGGACCCTCCAACTCGCTGGTCAGATGCACTTCCTGGGTGAAGCAGCAACCCTCCCCACCTTGGTCTGCCCTGAGTGGGCTTTGCTCACCATCGCACCAGATCTGTTTTAATGCTCCTGGTACTTCGGTTAGAGCTAGGAGATTTCAGGATTTCTGCGTCTCTCTCACTGGATGTTGTGCACTGGAGTTGTGTCTAATTCGCCATCTTGGATCAGACCACCCTCTTGTAATAGTTTTTTGTGTATTCTTAAATTTTCTATGTATGGGATCATATTATTTACAAATACAGTAGTTTTACATGTTCTCTTTCAATTATATAACTTCTCCTCACCTAACTTCTGTGACAAGAACATCTAATACAATGTTAAAAATAAAGATGACAACAGTTTTTTTTTGGGGGGGGTGGGGGAGTCTTGTTCCTGATCATAGTTGGCAGGCTTTCCATTTTTCACAATAAAATATAATGTAAATGGAAGGCTTTTGTAGATGCCTTTTATTGGGTTTAGGAAGTTCTTTTCCAATCCTAGCTTAATGAGTATTTTTCTCATAAAAAGATTTTTGGACTTTATATCTGTATTCATATAGAGAGATGTTACATGCTTTGGTGTCCTATATAACATTAGTTTGATTTTTATATGTTCAGCCAGGCTTATACATCTGGAATTAATTACACTTGTCAGGATGCATAATTTTATTTTATATGTTGCTTCCTTTTTTTTTTTTTTTTTTTTTTTTTTTTTTTTTTTTTTTTTTTTTTTAAATTTACCTGCCTTGGAAAGAACTATGTTGCTTGTCATACTGGAATAAATCATTCTTGTCATGATCAGTGCTCTTTTTATATTTTGCTGGATTTTGTTTCTGTTTTGTGTAGGACATTTTTATTTTTAATTAACTGCCAAACGGTTTTCCAGAATGACTATAACCTTATTTATTTCATAATGAAGTTCCTCCACGTCCTCTCCACATTTTTGTGTCAACTCTATTATTTAAACTTGTTGTATTCTGAAATTGTGCAGTGAAGTGTCCCTAATGTTATTAATTTACATTACCTTAATGACCAATGATGTTGAAAATCTTTCCTATGTTAAATTACATGAATAATTGGTGAAATGCCTTTTTAAGATTTTTTTTTGTTCATTTTCTAATTTAAGTTTGTTCTTACTGAGTTTTATTTTTGTTTTGTTTTTGATACAGAGTCTTGCTCTGTCACCAGGCTGGTGTGCAGTGGCTTGATCTCACCTCACTGCAATCTCTCCCTCCTGGGTTCAAGCAATTCCTCTGTCTCAGCCTCATGAGTAGCTAGTTGGGCGTACAGATGCGTGCACCTCTATGCCCAGCTAATGTTTTGTACTTTAGTAGATATGAGGTTTCATCATGTTGGCCAGGGTGATCTTGATATCCTGACCCCATGATCCTCCTGCCTTGGCTTCCTAAAGTGCTGGTATTAACAGGAGTGAGCCACGGTGCCTGGACCTGAGTTTTTTATATAATCTAGGTGATAGTCATTTGTTAGAAACATGTTTAGCAAATATTTCCTACCAGTCTGTGGCGTATCTTTTTATCTTCTTAATAGGTGTTTTACCACTAGAGTTTGTAATTTTGATGAGGCCCCACTTATTTTATTTGTTTGTTTATTTATAGTGATCATGCTTTTAATCAAATCTGAGCACTTACTACCTACCCACAAATCCTATGTATTGTTAAATTGTTTCTCTAAAAGTTTTACAGATATTGCTTAAGTTGTATTTCCTTTGAGCAGTGTTTTCTTGCCATCTTTAGATGTGAGACTTCAATTGACGTTTCTTTCCTCTCCCTGCCAATGATTCCAGGATCATTTTTTAAAAGGCTGGCTTTCACCTTTATTAGGTTGCTTTTGTGCCTTTGTTAAAAATCAGTTGTGCACATTTGTATAGGTCTATTTATACATTTTTTGTTTTCTTAATTGATCTTTGTTTTTGTGCCAGTACCTCATAGTCGTTTTACTACAACTACATAATATAGCTCTAAAGTTGGGTAGAAAGACTTACCTCACTTTACCTTTTTTCAAATTATTTAGTTGTTCTTGTACCTTATCTCACCATAAAAAATTCAGGTAATCTGATCTTTATTTTTGATACATTGCTTCCCAGCAGTAGGAAGTACTGTAATTTAAATAGGAGGACATAAGTTCTGTCTATCAGTTTTGGGAGAATTTTTGCTTGGATTTTTCAGCCCAAGAATATTGTATGCCTTTTCATTGATTTAGAGCTTTGAATCATTTATTTAGTGCTGGGTAGTTCTCAACATACAAACCTTACACGTTTGTTTAAATTTACACTTAAATGTTTATGTAACTGGTTTTCCTTTGAATGATTGTGAATGTTTTTGATGCTGTGTTTATACATTTATTACTATTTCTTTATAGAAACATTTGATTTTTATATGTATATTCTTTGTTCTGCAATAGTGTTCAAGTCTTTGAGGGCCTTTTTTTCTTCCTTCTTGAGGATCCTTGCAAATTTTTTTTTACATAGAAAGTTTTATTATGGGCATGCACGATGGCTCATGCCTATAATTCCAGCACTTTGGCAGGCCAAGGTGGGTGGATCACGAGGTCAGGTGATGGAGGCCAATATGGTAACACCCCATCTCTACAAAAAAAAAATTCAAAAAGTAGCTGGATGTGGTGGCATGTGCCTGTAATCTCAGCTACTTGGGGGAGGCTGAGGCAGGAGAATCGCTGGAGCCTAGAAGGTGGAGATTGCAGTGACCTGAGATCTTGTCCCTGCACTCCAGCCTGGCAACAGAGCAAGGCTCCATTTCAGAAACAAAAACAAAAAAAGAATACCATATTACATATACATAGGAAGAATTTTGCATCTTCCTTCTTCTTGTGTGTGACTGTTATTTCTTTGTCTTGCCTCATTGTGCTCGTCAGTATAAAGCTCAATAGAAGTGGCCAGAGGGAACTTAGTCTTGCTCTGATCCCATGGTAAGAAAAGTATCAGTGTTTCACTATTAAAAACAGTGTTATCTAGGAGCAGGGGCTCATGCCTGTGATCTCAACACTTTGTAAGGCTAAGGCAGAAGGATTACCTCAGCTCAACATTTGGAAGCTGCAGTGACCCATGATCTCACCACTATACTCCTACCTGGGTGACAGAATGAGACCCTGTCTCTGTTAGAAGGAAAAAGCAAGTGGGGTGGAATAATGTTATATCTCCCTTTTTCATAAATGCCATTAATTGGTTTCAAAATGTGGCCTTCCATTTTTGTTCTGTGAATCTTTGTCATGAATGGATGTTTTGCCAAGTCATAGTGACCACCTTTTTCTTTTTTTAAAAGACATGGTCTCAACTCTGTCACTTAATCATTTGCTGTCTTTATTTATAATATAGGATTTTTTGAGTCATGCATCCGTTGTCATTTTTAATTATGTAATTTTAAAGTCAAATGTTAACAAAACATATTAGAAATGAGGCTTTTGTTCCTGGCATTGTAATTACTCTGTCCCATGAGTACTATTTTGTTACCTCCAGTAAAACTTTAGTGTTCAGATACTCTCTTAGGGGTGTGTGCGTGCGTGTGTGTGTGTGTGTGTGTGTGTGTGTGTGATGGAAATTAAATGTAGTTTAATCAGACTTAAATAAAGCAATGGTTACTTGGTATAAAGAAAGATAAATTACATGATATTTATATTATTTAAATACTTTTTCTAGGCAAGTTGGACAAATGCAAGTAAAAAGCAACGTGAGAAACTCCTTGAGCTGATGCGTCGTCTTGCAGAAGATGATAAAGATGGTGTGATGGCACACAAAGTGTTGAACCTTCTTTGGAATCTTGCTCATAGTGATGATGTGCCTGTAGATATCATGGACCTTGCTCTTAGTGCACACATAAAAATACTAGATTATAGTTGCTCCCAGGTGGGCGTGTTTCTTTGTTCAGTTTTCCTGACTTTCCTTCACAAGTAGGATAACTTAGTTACAAGATAATTCCAGTTTCTTCCATCATTTTTTATTTCTAAAATAATCTTGAGGAATTGGCATACTTTTGTTCTGTAAGTCTGGCCTCCTGCTCTTCACCCTTGTGTTTTCCAGCCAGATTTTGTATGTCATTCACTAAGCATTTTTGCTTCATTTAGACAAAGATATTAATAGGTAGAATAACCTATTATAGTCAAACCATAGCTAACTACGTAGTGCCAATACAGATCATAAGGAATTAAAAGTGATTGTGACTTCAGAAGTACAAGGATAATTACATTTTAGTTGCTAGTAAGAAGTTAGTAAGATTAACAGAACTTAATTAGTGGCTTCCCTGTGAGCAAATCACAACAGTTTCCCAATGTTTAACTGATGTCCCTATGTCTTCTAATTTTAAGTATTAATGTTTTGCTACTTTTGCCGAAAATCTTGGACCACTTGATGCATTTTTATCAGCAGCACTTAGTCAGTCTTATAATAGGTCAGTTCAATAATTTAATTATGATGATACTCCTTTTTAAAAAATAAAAAAAGAACAAGCAGTGGTGTTTTCCATTTCTAGAGAGCAATCATTCTTTCACTTGCACTCAAGCTTAATTTAATTAAGCAAAGTTGGCCGGGCATAGTGGTTCACACTCCTGTAATCCCAGCAATTTCAGAGGTGCCAAGAAGGGCAGGATTGCTTGAGTTTATAAGTTCGAGTTTAGTTTGGGAAACAAGGGGAAGCCTCATCTCTTTAAAAACTAAGAAATTACCTAGGTGTGGTGGTGCATACCTAATGTTCTAGCTACAAGGGAGGCTGAGGCAGGAGGGTACTGGAGCCTGGGAGGCTCAGGCAGCAGTGAGCCATGAGCGTGCCACCTATTCCCACTCGGGCCAGAGAATGAGACCTTATCTCAAAACCATGAAATAAAGTATATTTTTAAAAATTAGTAAGGTCAAGATGATGCTCTTGGGCTTTGGAAAGTTGTATAATTGTGAAGTACAAAAGCATTTGGTTCATCAATTGCTATCATCAAAAAAGGACTTTAATATAAACCCATATGTATTATTAGGTAAATCAAAGGGAGAATGTTCTTAAAACTGGGATACTTAAAATATGATGTCATTCACAGTTTGTGGACTAGTTAGTCCCAACTTTTTATGTAAATCTGCTTTTATTTTTAATTGTGAAGAAGGTATAAATTAAGATTTATTACAATTACTGCCCAGTACAAATAAAGACACAATGGTTTTCCAATCCCAGTAGTCAGTAATACATTGGACTTGCAGTAATGCAGTTACAGCTTTAGATGCATTGAAATAAAAAGCATCAGTTGGGTTATTATGATCAGATGACAGTGTTATACTGTGCCTGATTCTGTTGATAAGTGCTTATTCAGCCTGTAAAATGGTTATGAGCATCTTCAGTTTAGGTGGTATCTTGGTAAATATAAAAGTGTTATACAGAATTGTGCTGTTTTCAGATCATTTCCCAGGAAAAAATGAATATACAGAATTAAAGTAATATACTTGTTATAAATGCTCACTTAGCATTTATTTATTTTATTGCTTGCCACAATGTTTTCTACACTGCTGTGTTAATACTTGATGTCACTAAATTTAGTGTAAGAGTTGTGCCTTTTTTAACTTTAGTTCTTATTTTTTTTGTGTTACAGAAAACTAGTAAGTGTGTCATTCCTCTTGTCCTCCCACCCAAAGTACTTTTTATTTAATATACATATATGGGCTGGGTACAGTTGTGCACACCTGCAGTCCCAGCACTTTGGGAGGCTGAGGTGGGCATATCATTTGAGGCTGGGAGTTCAAGACCACCCTGGCCAAATCCCCTCTGTACTAAAAATACAAAAATTATCCAGGCATGATGGTGCATACCTGTAGTCCCATCTGCTTGGGAGGCTGAGGCAGAAGAATCACTTGAATCCAGGAAGTGGAGGTTGCAGTGAGCCAAGATTGAGGCACTGCACTCCAGCCTGGTGACAGAGTCACCAAATCCATCTCAAAAATAAACAGACAAACAAACCAACACATAAGAGTATTTTTAAATACTTAAAAATGGGCACATTTACTAATAGAAATTTTTCCTGGGAAATGGTCTGAAAACAGCACATTATGTAGAAACATGTTCTTTATTGTTTACACAACGAAACCCTTTACATAAACTGGATATTCTCTGCAGTATGTGTAGCCATTAAAATGCCTTGTTAGTGTGGAAAGGTGTCCACAGTACTTAATGAAAGACACTTAAAGCATGTGTCCACTTTTTATAAAAAAAAAAAAAAAAAAAAAAAAAAAGATACCCATGTGCTTACAGATGTATACCTTAAATTAAATATTAAAGAAATACATAGATTTACCTTTTCTTTTCTGAATATGCACAGAAATGGAATTCTTCCAACTAAAAATTAGATATTTAAAGCAGACTTTTGATTATTAGTCACTGTAGTGTAAAACATTGAAGCAACCATGGAAGAATATTTGAAACAATCCAATGTTAAAAATATTCTTGGTTGGGTGTGGTGACTTACCCTGTGGTCCCAGCACTTTGGGATGCCGAGTCGGGTGGATCATGAGGTAAAGGGATCGACACCATCCTGGCCAACATTGTGAAACCCCATCTCTACTAAAAATACAAAAATTAGCTGGGTGTGGTGGCACGCCAGTGTAGTCCCAAGTGTTCAGGAGGCAGAGGCAGGAGAGTCACTTGAACCTGGGATGTGGAGGTTGCAGTGAGTCAAGATCTGAGATCATGCCACTACATTCCAACCTGGTGACAGAGTGAGACTTTGTCTCCAAAAAAAAAAAAAAATGCTTAAATTATTTTTTAGTTCAACGTGTTTGTCTTTTTCTGTAGCTTTCTTTGCATTCTGATTTAGCTTATTCTGATTATTTTTTAACCTCCAGAATTACTATACTATTATTTTCCTCATGAAATAAAACTTTTCCATGTTCTGTGCTCTGATTAGAAAAATATCTTAGCCAAACTCAGTATGTATGATAATAATTGAGATTGTATGCTTTGCCAAATTTTATGATAGAACTTTGCAAAACTCAATGAAATGCAATATCCACCATTCAGACAAATATTTTAACATCCTACTCCTTGTAAATGTGTCAGTACTTGGGAATTATGTCTTGGTACAGACATTTCTGCATCCTAAAACATAAAATTTATATTAGTGTTTTACATTTTGGAGTTTTCATTATAACTTCAAAATTATACCATATTCAGATCATTTTGTTTGAACTCTTTTACAATTACATCATAATTTTGCTGATGCTGAGCTTAGAAGCTTTCCTGTTTTGCAAATGTCAAAATAATTTGAAGGTAGAATTATATTGTGAGTATTGGTCCACTTACAGTATAAATTTTTTTCATGTGTAAGGATCGAGATGTACAAAAGATCCAGTGGATAGATCGCTTTATAGAAGAAGTTAGCACAAATGACAAATGGGTAATTCCTGCTCTGAAACAAATAAGAGAGATTTGTAGTTTGTTTGGTGAAGTACCTCAAAATTTAAGGTAAGACTTTTTTAATACAGAGAATTTTCTTATTTTTATTTATATGTTATATTGAAAAGGGTATAGGACAGCAAATTTTAAAGGAAGAAAACATTAGTGGGAAAACGAAAAATTTCTAAGAGTTTGTTTGCTACAAAATAAGGATCATTGATCGTAATCAGCTTCTTTGTATTTTATGACGCAGATAGGTAAGCAATATATTCAATACTAAATGGCAGTTAAGCATAGAGCCACATTACTGCCTTTCAGGTCTTAGAATTTTTCCTGACTTCCAGCAGATGTATCAGTTATTATGTCATGTATTATATTTCTCTTACTACTCATTTTACTCTGTGCTTTCAACAATTATTTTGCCTTTGGCTGAATATTCCTTGCAATTCCACATATCTTTTACAGTCTTTATTATTTATTTAATTGATCTACTCTAATATATTTTTATAATTTGTAGGGGGGAAACACTTCTTTTTTGAATTTTAAAGTTAAATTTTTAAAGTTAGACAAGGTAATTTAAATTATGAAACATTACAAGACTTTAAAGCTTTTTACTCATAACTTACTTTAGCTAGATTTTTCTTAATTTTAAATGTCTGATGTTATGCTAAATTGATTATTTAAATATTTTATTTTCTTATGATATATTGATAATTAATGAAATAAAGGGAAAAATAACATGGAGAACCCTACTTTACTTGAAGAATATTTACAGTGCAGTTAAGATTCCCAGTAGTGAACTCCAGGTTTGTCTAACTAGCTATAATTTTCGAAAGATTCTCTCATCAGTCAGGTGCTATGGCTTGTGACTGTAGTCCTAGAACTTTGGGAGACCAAGATGGGCGGATCACCTGAGTCAGGAGTTCAAGACCATCCTGGCCAATATAATGAAACCCCATCTCCACTAAAAATAGAGAAAATTATCTGTGTGTCATGGTGGGTGCCTGTAATCCCAGCTACTTGGGAGGCTGAGGCAGGAGAATCGCTTGAACCCAGGAGGCAGTGACTGAGATCATGCCATTGCATGACAGCCTGGGCAACAAGAGTGAAACCAGGTCTCAAAAAAAAAAAGATGCACTCATGGTGTAAGAACATTTGTCATATCAGATAATGATTAATCAAGATGCTTTACAGCTTTAAATTGATATAATTATGCCTCAAAGAGATTTTTTTGTTAATAGAAGTTTAAAATGCCATTTTTATGTTGTGTTTTTTTCAAGTTGACTTTGGCTCTATTTTTCTAATGCTGGAAATATTACAGGAAATATGAAAGTTTTATGGGAATACTGGAAAACTACTTATGAAGGGCATATTTTGATTTGATTTGTTTTATTATATATGCCTTTTGTCTTCTATCAGACTTATCTATTTACTACAGATAGATGCAGTACATATACTTTCCAAAGACTGGTGACCTCATTATTGGTTTAGTCAAAGATGACAAACTAGGAAGGAAAAGAAAACTAGATACTTTTTGGTAATATCCACAGGTAAAACAGTATGAACTCATTGTTCTAGAATGTACCTGGGAATGTCTGCTATTTTTCATTATACAACACATGTGCTTTGATACCAATAGGTAGTTTTTATTTAACACAAGAATACTGAAATAAGTTTTGGTTTGGAGGCATGAATTTTATTTTTTACAGGGTTTGATCATTTGTTATTAAGGGGAGGATACTGACCACATGTTGTTAATGACCTGTAGCATTGAAATTTCTTTAAGTAGTGGCTAGAATTTACCTTCTGTAAGCTATCTTAATTGTAGCAATTTTCATTTGCCTTATTATACTGTTAAGTTGTTCTTTCAGTCAAACTCAGCGAAGTCCCCACATATTTTGTCGCCATGATTTAATCAACCAGCTTCAACAAAGTCATGCTTTAGTTACTTTGGTAGCAGAAAATCTTGCAACTTACATGAATAGCATCAGATTGTATGCTAGAGGTATGTATGATAAGCTAAAATTAACTATGGTTCCCTGATTTTTTGTTTTGCCCTAAATGTTAATAACCTAAGAAATAACAATTTTACCTTCCTTTTGTTTTGCCATAAATGTTAATAACCTAATAAATGACTACATTTATTTTTGAATGAGAAAAAATAGAAGTAGATTGATACAGTATTTCAGATTACATCTCAAATCTTAGATTGGTATTTCAGATTGCATCTCAAATCTTACTTAAATTCTAGGTTGGCTTTCCCGTGTCTCCTTACTGATGCTTCTTGTTAGTGTCTTCTTTAATACTTGGAAATTCTGCCTTTTTTGCCATTTTGTCTCTGTGGTGGGTTATAATTCTCTTGAGTCCCTTTGCTGTATACTCAAGTCATTTATCCTTTGCTCTTTTTTTTGGGGTGGGTGGTTAAAGTCCCACTATGTTGCTTAGGCTGAAGTGCTATGGTGCAATCTGTTTATTGCAATGTTTGCATCCCAGGTGCAAGTGATCCTCCTACCTGAATCTCCTGAGTAGCTAGGAACACAAGCACCTACCACTATGCCCAGCCATTTTATATTTTCAGCAAAGACAGAGTTTTGGCATGATGACCAGGCTGATCTTGAACTCCTGGGCTCAAGCATTCCTCTTGCCTTGGCCTCCCAAAGTGTTGGGATTATAAAGTGAGCCACCACCCCTGGCTTCATTTGTTACTAATTTGCCTGATTCTGTTCTTGCATGTAATACAGTTTTTTAATAATTCTGAATTACTGCTATCTATTGTTTAAAGAGCTTATTAGAAATTCACTGGATTCGTGATCACTAGATGTTGTCATTATTCCTCAGACTATGAAATATTTTAAAACTGTTTGCTTTTTACCTTATACTTTTCAAGAATTAGCCTTTTAGTATATGCCATGTGGAGATCTGTCTTCGCATGTTGAAGATTAATTCCAATGTTATTTGTCCTCTGACAGTTTTAATACATTTGTGTCACACAGTAGTCTTTCTACATGTATAACAGTATGGTCTTTCCTCAAAATTAGAAACACCTGCTTCCCAAATAGAAAAACCTGCTTTATAGAAACACTTGTTTCCCAAATTAACCATTTCATAGGCCTAGTTTTTATGATTTTACAGAAGAAAAACTTTAATTATCCAATGTTGAAGGCATGATTTACCATTAATACTAATTGATATGCTACGTTAGTATCTGCGGAATTCAATTGTGTATGTTGAAAATGTGGATATTTGTATTATTAATTGACAACAATAGTAGAGCCTTGGTATGATTGAGTTGGTAAAAATCCTCAAGCTTTTACTTAATGCTTCCTTTAAAAGTCACACAAAATAATAGAAAACTTAAGTAACTTTCAAACACCTATAATTATTTCAGTGACTTCTGTTCCTCTCACATTTTGCACACTCTTTTTACCTTTGTTGTAGGGCTATAAAAGCAATCATGCATTTCAGTCTTGCCTGTAAAGCTTCAGAAGCTTGAAGGCATAGTGGAAGGATAGGCAAGGCCATGTAGGCATATAACCAACTTGCTGGGTTATCACGAGCAGCCAAAACTAATTAAAGGAACACAAAATCTGCACGCTGTTCTCTTAAATTCTGTATCATCTGAAGCCTTGTGTCTTCTTGAAGAAACAAGGGCCGTCCCAGAAGACCTTCCCCAAAAGTGATCACAAGTGATATTTAACTCCAATGATAATTTTATTGATTTTGGGGTGCTTTTATCTGTAATTGTATTGTTATTGTCAGTAATTGAAGACGTAATTTCCAATTCAGTCAAGAGAAAAGTTTTAGGTGCATTCTAGCCTCACTAGGGTGCTGTATTTATTTATTCAAATTCTACTTAAGTTCAGATAGATAGATAGATAGATAGATAGATAGATAGATAGATAGATAGATAGTACTTTAGATTCTGGGATACATGTACAGATCATGTGGAATTACTGCATAGGTACATACATGGCAATGTGCTTTGCTGCCTCCATCCCTCTGTCACAACTGTCTGGAAATTCTACCCATGTTATCTCTCCCCAATCTCCCTACCCCCCACTGTCCCTCCCCTAGACCCGCTCAACAGATCCCAGTTTGTGATGCCCCCCTCCATCTCTGTCCATGTGTTCTCATTGTTCAACAGCCACCTGTAAGTGAGAATATGCGGTGTTTGATTTTCTGTTCTTATATTAATTTGTTGAGAATGATGGTTTCCAGATTCATCCATGTCCCTACAAAGAACACAAACCCATCATTTTTTATGGCTGCATAGTATTCAATGGTGTATGTGCCACACTTCCTGTGTCCAGTCTATCATCGATGGGCATTTGGGTTTCTTCCACATATTTGCTATTGTAAATTGTGCTGCACTGAACATACATGTGCATGTGTCTTTATAATAGAACAATTTATAATCATTTGGATATATACCCAGTAAGGGGATTGCTGGGTAAAATGGAATTTCTATTACTAGGTCCCTGAGGAATCACCACACTGTCTTTCCACAATGGTTGAACTAATTTACACCAAGAATCTAAAAGTGTTCCTATTTCTCCATATCCTCTCCAGCATCTGTTGTCTCCAAATTTTTTAATGATCGTCATTCGAACTGATGTGAAATGGCATCTCAATGTGGTTTTGATTTGCATTTCTCTAATGACTAGTGATGATGAGCATTTTTTCATATGTTTGTTGGCCTCATATATGTCTTCTTGTGAAGACAGAGGGCATCCTTATTTAGTGCAGGATTTCAAAGGGAATGCTTCCAGTTTTTGCCATTCAGGATGATACTTGCTGTGCGTTTGTTGTAAATAGCTTTTATGATTTTGAGATATGCTCCTTCGATACCTAGTTTATTGCAAGTTTTTAGCATAAAGCGCTGTTTAATTTTGTAGAAGGCCTTCTCTGCATCTATTGAGATAATCATGTGGTTTTTGTCTTTGGTTCTGTTTATGTGGTGGATTATGTTTTTAGAGTTGTGTATGTTGAGCCAGCCTTGCATCCCCAGGATGAAACCTAGTTGATCGTGGTGGATAAGCTTGGGAAGGTGCAAAGGTCCAGAATTTATCTGTTTCTTCCAGGTTTACAGGTTTATGTGCATTGAATTGTTTGTAGTAATCTCTGATGGTAGTTTGTATTTCTATGGAATCAGTGGTGATAGCCACTTTATCTTTTTTATTGCATGTATTTGATTATTCTTGTTTCTTTTTTATTAATCTGGCTAGTGGTCTGTCTATTTTGTTGGTCTTTAAAAAAAACAGCTCCTGGATTTATTGATTGTTTTGAAGGGTTTTTTGTTTCTCTATCTCCTTCAGTTCTGCTCTGATCTTAGTTATTTCTTGTCTTCTGCTAGGTTTTTAGTTTTTTGGATCTTGCTCCTCTGGCTCTTTCCATTTTGACTCTAGGGTGTCAATTTTAGATCTCTCCTTGCTTCTCATGTGGGCATTTATTGCTATATGTTTTCCTATATGCTTTACGTGTGTTCCAGGGATTCTGGTATGTTTTGTCTTTGTTCTGGTTGGCTTCAAAGAGTATCTTTATTTCTGCCTTCATTTCATTGTTTATCCAGTCAACCTTCAAGATCCAGCTGTTCAGTTTCCATGAAGTTGTGTGAGTTCTGAGTTAGTTTCTTAGTCCCAAGATCTAATTTGATTGCCCTGTGATCTGAGAGACTGTTTTGATTTCTGTTCCTTTGCATTTGCCTGGGAGTGATTTACTTCCAATTGAGTAGTCAGTTTTAGAGTAGGTGTGATGTGGTGCTAAGAAGAATGTATATTCTGTGGATTTGGGGTGGAGAGTTCTGTAAATGTCTATTAGCTTTGCTTGGTCCAGATCTGAGTTCAACTCCTGGATATCCTTGTTAATTTTCTGTCTTGTTGATCTTTCTAATATTGACAATGGAATATTAAAGTCTCCCACTCTTATTTGGTGGGAGTCTAAGTCTCTTTGTAAGTCATTAAGAACTTGTTTTATGTATCTGGGTGCACCTGTATTGGGTGGGTATATATTTAGGATCGTTAGCTCTTGTTGCATTGATCCTTTTACCATTACGTAATGCACTTCTTTGTCTCTTTCGATCTTTGTTGGTTTAAAGTCT